CTTGTCCATGCCGTACTTCAGTGCACTGACCAGAGAAAACGGGGGAAGGCAGGACATACCTATTGTTACCCAACCAGACATCATATCCCTGCTCCGCTAAAACGAAAGCCAAAGAACGCTCGGGATTGGTTAGGCAAATCCACACTTCACTGTTCATGAGCAGCCCGTGGTGCAGGTATACGACAGGCTTCCCTGTACTCGTCCCAGGATTATCCCTCCTCTCTCCACGTTTGGCAGGAATTCGGTGGAGACCAAGCAGATATCCATCCTTGGTCAATACAACATGCTCTTCGTGTGTATACCCGTGGATGTTACAGAGATCCTCAAAGTCCTTCGCTTTGAGGACCTTATCTGATGCCCTCTTTTCTTCATTCTGTTCTTTTCCGCGGCCGCCAAACCAGTAGAAGAGTGACCGTGATTGCCTGTAGAACCAGTTGATGACAGGTTTTGGGAGGAAGAGGATGATGAATTTGAGCAAAGAATCGAGTGCAAGGAAGGTAAACCCGAAGATAATTGTGAGGTATTCGCGGACTGTGAGCCGCCCAAGTAGCGGGATTGGGAGGCGCATGGTTACTTCTAGACTTCGGGAGGGTTAGAAAGAAGCTTTAAATGGCATTGATGATCTTACCTGTGGTTCTAGGTTCTGTTATATCAATATCAATATCGCATGCGATTATGAGAATAAATGTAGAGCCAGGAGGGAGTTGTTATGAAGACATGAAAGGGAAAGGTTTATGCTGTACTACATTGCACGAGAATGCTTAATGATGTCAAAGTTCCCACGCACATGACCCTGCTCCTTTGCTGCGATCCTGCTCTATCGTCATGAAACTCATCTTGAAAAGTCTCCTCACCCGGCTCTTCTTGTCCATCTCGGTAATTTATCTATGGTGGCTCTTCCTGCTCAAGAGTCAGGGAGTTAGCGTTGAGCCACATCTCAAGCGACAACTGGATCTTGCTATCACTAGCTACACAAGGATGTTTGTTAAACACTTGATCGACGTCAAGATCACGACTTCCTACCAGCAGAGGCAAGCAATCAGAGACGCGCAGACACGTCTTGTCTGCTATATTCGCTACGGCACGTGGATCGCCGAAGGGCGAGGCAAATCAAGATATCACCACGACGAGACGTGTCTTGAAGGATGGACATCGTTGGAACCATTGGATCTTGAAGAACTGGCCGGGCTTCTTTGCACTCTATTGTCTGGAAAGCGGGTGCTGCTTGTCGGGCCACACGCTCTCTACCACGCTCATACTCTCCTGCTGGATGCGCTGGCAAAATGGGATAAAAAGCGCTATCCCTGCAAGGGTCCGGAAAGCTGTAATCATCACTTTATCTGTGGGGACTCTCCGGACGAAGTATCGCAATCAATACCTTTCAGTCCCCGTAACGAGACAAAATCCAAGAAGAACTCTCTACTTCATTTGACTCGCATGTCGTTTTCTCTTTCCGACACCCTCTATGCCGTCCGTGATCCTCAGGACGAGAGTATTACTCAACCACTTGTGGATTCCAAGACTGGCGTACGCACACACAACTCTCATTGGCTCGCGGCTTCCCAAAAGGCCCACGTCGTTATCCTCAATAAAGGCCCTCGACCTGCCCCTGCGTGGACCTTTGACGGCGGTAGTGGCAATTGGTCATTTGCTCGGGATATTCTCCAGGAATTGAATGGACCTCGGGAAAGGAGCTTGTCTGCTAACGTAATAACAGCTGCCCTCCACGCCGTCTACCAAGTATATTTGCCTGAACTCATACGATCCATGAATGCGCTCCAACAGGATACGAGATCGAGCAAATTATTTCTAGGATCATGGTATCAGCAGGCAACGTGTACTAATGCTGGCTTGTCCTCTGTACTACGAACAACAAGACTTATCTGGGAGAGTGATGTGAAAAAGAACCAACGCCAAATCGATCCGTGGACTCTATATTACAACACCCAAAGTAAGACAAGGTATCTTCTGTGGTGGTCTAATAGCGCTCATTTTTCTAAACGCAGTTTATATCATCGACCGAGTATTGCCTACGATCCTCCCCTATTTCAATGTTACCTTCATCCCCATGACCATCCCTCTTGTACCCGACAATCATGGGCTCGAGGGATTGGAACGCATGGATCGACGAAAGGACTGCCTTCGACCAAACACTAGCCACCCTGTGGGCGAAGCCATTCAGATGGCGTTGATGAAGTCATTACTTTACCTGTTCCAGAACCAGTAGCAAGAAGACTCTTCGATCAGGTCATTGTTCTTCGAGAAATAGGTCACTTACTACGTGAACTGTATACTAGATATTTTTGTTGTCCAGCTTATTTACGCCTGGCTTTGGCTCCAGACCCCTGCTGCGGATTTTCGCTCTTTACGAAGCTGCCTTTGTTCAAAGCTTCTTTCGCGACTTCTGAGATGCGCTTCCATCGATCAGAGCCTAGCTTTATTCCTCCATACCACCTGAACACGACCACGACCACATTCTTATAATTGGATAGTTCGAGAAGCCTTGACAGCCGGTCCCCGCTGCCACCCTCGCCACCATCATTTTGCCCACATGTCAATTGTTCTACCCCCTGGTTCTTCCCCTTGGTCCGGTATGCATACATACAATGGGTCGCGCGCTTCGAGCTCGGCAGCGAAGTCAGATAGGAGAGAAATGTCGGCAATAAAGCAACATTTCTCAGCTCTGTTGCGTGAGCTTGGAAGACTGATTTACGGTCTCGTATACGTTCTGAGGCAAAGACTTCATTTGGCCAGTCTAACCAGGGAGAATACGTGAGCGATTCGGGAACAACTCCCGAAATTATCCCACCAGCAACTTCTCAGCCCTCACCTTCATTCCTTCCCGTCGATGACTTGGACGCCGCTATGCGGACCGAAGGGGATATCCATCGCCTTGGGGCAACAACTACGGAATAAATGCGTCCTCTGGGAAGCACACAACTCCAGATAGTCCCGGACGACCAAGGACGGAGATAAAACATAAAGGACCTGAACCGTGCGACCTGCGATTGGCGCTGCTATTTTGGCCTGTTTCCTAATCACCACGGACCATATGCTCCCTCGAACACCAATGCTGTACGGTTCCGCCCGGTTCTAGCTTCAAGCTTCAGATAACAAGGATCCTAATATATTCATAAGCTTGTCTCAGATGAGTTGAAGCACGTTGGTTGTAGGTTGACCTATTGCAACACTCGCACCTGGGAAAGGCTTCTTGGAATTGGCGGCGGTTGTTTAGATATATGGGTGACCGTGCGGTTGTATTAGACCTGCCTTGTGTGTGTGGTGGTATACATGTGCCCATGAAAGGCTGGCCTACCCTTTTCGGGCCGGCCTCGAGAATCAGACAATGCCTTCGCCAAATCCACTCCATTTCGCGCCGATGATCCATACCCACTGTCACTTAGCCACATACCCTGTGTTTCTGCTGACCATATGATGTCCGGGTTCGCTCACAGCCCGCTGGCCATGTATTCTTAAAAGCCTTGTGCCGTGAAGTATATCTCGGTTTGGCCTTCGCCCATTCCTACCCAGTGTAACTCTCTTCTCGTCTACCTTGACCGACTTGGTATCTACTTCATCATGCGTATATATTCAGGCCTTACATTTACCGTGGCCCCACTAACCCGTCGCTCAACCTAGGTCTTATTATTCGTGATGACCCTACGGCTGTTGGCGACTACATTGCTAACTACATCTGCAAACGGTATGTGTTTCAGTCCCTCTCTTGGGCAGGAAGTACTGATGGACGTTGGGACTTCAGAATTAACGACTTCGCGCCAACTCCGGAAAAGCCTTTCGTACTAGGCTTGCCTACTGGTTCATCACCAATCCCCACTTACGGCGCCCTTATCAGGCTTGTGAAGGAAGGGAAGCTTTCGTATGTCTCATTCCAGCTGCCAGTAAGACATACTCTGAGTAGTGCGGTTTCCAGGTTTAAGCATGTTGTTACTTTCAACATGGATGAGTACGTTGGTCTGCCCCGCGACCATTCAGAATCCTATCACACCTTCATGTTCCGCGAGTTCTTCTCCCATAGTGAGTATAGATCCATACCTGTCTCATGTGCAAGTTCTTAGTGTGTCTCTAGTCGACATTCCACCGAGCCAAGTCAACATTCTTAACGGGAATGCAGAAGATCTAATTGCGGAATGTAACGCATACGAGAAGAAGATCAAGGATTGCGGTGGCATCGAGCTCTTCCTTGGTGGTATCGGAGAAGACGGCCACATTGCATTCAACGAACCAGGCACGTAGCTTACCTTCACGCGCACTATAGCCTCCTTACATCTACAATAGGTTCTTCGCTAGCGTCAAGGACCCGGATCAAAACACTAGCATACGACACTATTCTTGCGAACGCGCGGTTCTTTAATAACGATATCTCAGCGGTGCCAAGAATGGCCTTGACGGTCGGTGTCGCAACTGTGCTCGACAGTAGAGAAGTCGTCGTCGTCGTGACCGGGCTACGGAAGGCCTTAGCCTTGAGCAAGGCGATCGGTGTGTAACTTCCCTCGTGTACAGTGCTCATCACCTCATCACATTACTGGTTCATTTATACATAGAGGAAGGAGTTAACCACTTGGTGAGTGTCTCATTAGTTTGCATCGAGCCTGTCTCTGAAACGGTCGATAGTGGACACTTTCGGCTTTACAACTGCATCCTTGGGCCCTCATTGTTGTTGATGAAGATGCCACATCTGGTTTGTCTATATTTTTTGGCACTCATGTCAAAGCTTATGTCTTGTTCGTCTCTCAGAGCTACATGTCAAGACCGTCAAGTACTTCAAGTCTATTGAGTTTGTTCAGGACGAAGTAGAAAAGACTCAAAGGGAACTGAAGGCCCGGGGGAAGATTACAGAGGAGCAGGTTGGTAGCATGGAATAAATGATCAAGTTATATGTGGTTCAAATGCATCAGGTATACATATCGAAAATCAAAGAGGAATCCGTTAAAAGAATAACGGTGAGCAAGCCAGCACAAAAAATGGCGCTATCTTACATAAGGTACTACCAGGATTCGAACCTGGGTCTCGGGAATTGCCGGAATAGTCAAAATCCCGAATGATAACCCCTATACTATAGTACCAGCAATTTATAGAAAAGGTGCTACCAGGGTTCGAACCTGGGTTTCGGGAAGAATTTGATCTCAAAATCCCGAGTGATAACCACTACACTATAGCACCTTACGGGGTATATTTGTTCATCCTCGTAACAAAATCTGGGGGTTCGACTTTACAAAGATTCATTGAAAATTCAAAATCCATGAACGAGCACGGAAAACTACACGATACTTTCGGGAACACTCGTCGCTTTACAAAATAATTCTCCCGTATGGGGTTTGAACGATAATAACGTTTCTGGTGAAGTGAAATACATGGTATATTTTAGAGTTGACGACAGAAATCTATCGCCAAACGTCATTGATGGTGAATGTCCCGCTGGCTGGGGATGTGAATTGAAGATTAGGATCCGACTCCCATGTGACGGCGCCATTGAACTTGCGGATATATTTGTACTCAAAGGAGGTACTGGCAGGAATATTCACGGTAACTGAAACTCTCGCGTCAAAGGGGGGCTGTTTGAACTGTTAGAAGATGACCCACCACTCCAGATAGGATAGTTGTTGGCGTTGAGTGCCAGTGCGTTATCTGGGGACCAGTTTGTAAGGGAATCGATAGACCCAGTCAAGAAGATATTCTCTGCATTCTTTGTCAGTAGTAGCTTCTTCAGACCTCACAAGTGGCTCACCCCCAAATACTGTGGTAGCCTGAACGTTGAAGGTGATAGAAACGGTTCCGCCTCCACCACTCCCACCGCCAGTGTTTCCAGAGCAGGTTGTGGGCACAGTCAGGCCCTTTGCACCCCAGCTTGCAGGAACGACTCCATTTCTCGCGCCAAATGCTGTCAGAAGGGCTGCGTAACTCCAGGTCAAGTCAACGGCACTGACGGGAGCGCCGTTGCTCCTGCTGTACTGTTCGGCGAGGCCGCCGCCAGACGGAGTGAATTTGGCAACAACCGCAACAAAACTATCTGCATAGTTCTCAATTGCAGCGGTCAAAGAGTTGAAGGTGCTGGAAGACGATGAAATGGTGCCTGTAGCAATGCCTGGGGAGAAGAGGGCGAAGAATGGTTGTGAAGTCGCTGTAATGGTGATTGAGCCTTGTTGCTTCCAGACGATGAGCGAATCGTAGAGTTGTTCGGCAACAGCCAGGGTAGTCAGGTACCAAGGCTTGGGTGACGTTAGCCAAATTCTTCCATTAGGAGCGTATGCTTACATTTCCTCCCATATAGCTGTCTTCAGGATATCTTCCAGTGGCAGTACCAACATTGTTCGCGACCCCGGAGTTAATCGAATAGATGCTGCGGAATGCGTTGACATAGTTCAAGAGGTTGGACAGTGCCCGATCAGAGCAAGGCTGGAAGGTCACAGAATCGCAGCCAGCAGCGGCATCGAAAGTATGAATGCTCGCAAGGACAGTGTTCGCGTCTTTTCCAGAGCGGCCGCCGCCAGTGTTTGCGGTGATGTAACCGGAGCCACCATTCCAGTATGACTAATATTGGACTTAGCAAACAAATTCCAAGGTTGCTGGGACCAACATGTAGACCAACCTGTAAGAAACAAAGCAAATTATTTGCTTGGGCTGTGTACCCGGCCACGGCGGAAGTCTGCCCAATTCTATTGGCCAATGCAATGCCTTGACGAAGTGCACGGTGCTGTACGGCGGTGGTAAAGAAAGACGAAGATGAAACCTCTTCCCACAAATCGAAACTATGCGGCGTTCAGAGAAGTCTGTAGCGAACGAACGGGGATGCGTACGTAGTCTGGTTCCAATTACCAGCAACATAATCGAGGTCGAGCTTGATTGTTGGCCACAAGGTGCTAGTGACATATGTCGCGTTATTTTGTTTGAGAAGGAAATTAGCCCAAGTAATCATGGCATTCGCTCTCAATGCCGGGCCATCTATACTGCATCAGATCTAGTCCTAAGCAGAACTAAGACAATACCTCGTTGGGGGCGACTATGGCGACTTTAAGCACGGTAGTCATGACTTCCGTACGGAGAACTCACCCCCATGCACCAGTGAAAGCCGTTTCATCGATGTTGAACTTAGGTTCGCCTAACCCGCCAGTGCTAATGGTTCCTGAAGGGTTCGATATCTGCTGAATAATCTCTTGAGAGGCGACAAAGTTGTCAACCTGCCCCCTTAGCGATGTATCAAGACCCAACGTGAACCTGGAGGTCAAAGCATCAATATACTTTGGTCGTCGCCTTGGGCGCGCCCACTCACTGGTCAATAATTGCCCCAAAAACGAGAGATGTGTCACGGGTCCAAGTATACAGATAGTCGGGATTGCTTTGCGAAGGAGAGGCGATGACAACCCCTGCCTTAGCACCTGATGATTTGGATCCGGAAGGACCAATGTTGGCTAGGAGACCAGCCTTTGCGATCGGTGATTCAGACGCCAAGAACGCGTCCACCGAACTGGACTGCGCTCGGGCACTCCACAAAAAGGTTAAGCCAGCACAGATGAATGCAGAGGAGATACGCATTGCAGGTCGACTTGAACGGGGTGTTGGAGGCCAGTTCAGCAACAGGCACCTTTATACTCCCATCTGCAAGAAAGGGCCTTCCTCAGTTGATCTTCTGACAGACGTGGCGGGGAGAGCACGCGGGTAGTGGCCATGCGACTCGTCGGACACAGCTGGTAAGAGATTCGGTCCATGCCGGGATCGCCGAGGGAAGACGGCTCTATATCTGTATTGTCTATTCGTTGATCATGTCGAAATCGCCAGAAATGATAGTGTCTATTCAGGGCACAGGTTGTTGGAACTGATCTTTAATAGACGGGTGATAGCTTTTAACACGAATAACTCGATAACTCATGTGAGTTATCATTGAGTGCGTCGTCAAATTTGATAAGATAGTTATGAGGTAGGTGTGCTGCTTCCCAAGTGGCAAGGGTCAAAGTAGGCGGCCGATGATTCGCAAAGTCCTCATCATGGGCATTTTCTTGACGACCAATCCGAACCAATTGGCATATGATTTCTCGACAAGTTGACGGTGTGAAATTCCCCAAAATCCGACGATCTCTCAAGTTTCCCAGCCCCGCATTTGGGATGTCAGGGGCCACCTAATTTAAGAGATTCAAAAATATTCAAAAATTAGCAAATACATAAAAACTAAAATAACATAACTGGCGAAGTTACTCTCTATACCAAGCCAATTTTTGCTCTGCAACCCAGAATTCCACGCTCTCCTTCTGGGCAGTAAACCCATGAGAAGCTCGAAGATGGCGCCGCAGGTCGTATGCACGTCTAAAGACGTAGTCGCATCCGGGTTTGTGTTGGGCAGTCGGGGGTTGAATTCCAACGCCTGTGAAGGACTGAAGCTCGGGGAAAGGGCACTGGAGGGCTCGCCCCTCTGCGACCTTGGCCCGAGCGGCCCGCATATAGGTGTAACCAGTGATGGCATCGATGTCCAACGGAGAATCTCCCTCTTTGTCTTCGTCTTCCGACACAGGTAATGAATTATCTGTATATTCTGTGGCTGTCTCGTCATCGCTCCCATGTGCTTTGGCAACGTGCCGTTGAAGAAGATGTTTATAGCCATAAGCGTTCGGACAGTTTTCATAAGAACATTTGAAATTACGCTGTCCAAGGTGCGTCACGTTCTTGTGGACTGTGAGGGCTTTTTTCTGAGGTATCATGATTAGTCTTGTACGGCGGCCGAAGTAAATATACCTACCGATTTGAAATCTTTGGAACAGCCTTCGAAATCGCATATCCAATCTCTACCCCATTCTCCACCTCTTCTCTTCTTTGAGGGCTGACAACCGATCTCATCATCGGACGGCTCTAGGGCTTCCATTATATCGCGTTGTTCATGGAGCTTGAGGTGGGCACGAAGGCCCTTCTGGGTTGTAAAAGTACGTCCGGCACAAGACGTATGAAGGCATATAGGGGGGTGCGCGTTGCGTATGTGGTTTTGAAGAGCAGACCAGGTGGGAAAGTATAGTGGGGCTTGATCGGGGGGCGTAATGCAGTCTACGTGCACACATGTATAACGCCTCTCTATATGACCTTTAGTTCTATAACCTGGGGAAGGGGATGAGTCGCCATACCATCATGTGTTTTAACATGTGCCTTTAGTTGTTGGTTGGTAGAGAATGACTTTGTGCACGCGGTGTGTTCACACCGGTAAGATTTAGTGCCAGGGGATGAGTGGGCATTTGCGATATGAGAGCGAAGTTGATGGTGTTTGGCGAATGATTCCGAGCACCCAGATTCTGGACACTAATGATGCATTAACACGGTGAAGACTGAACAGGACTGCGACCTACGGCAAATGGTTTGGCTCCTTCATGCCATCCGATATGCCCTTTGAGGTGCTGCACCGTCCAGAAGCGTTTCCCGCACCCTGGTTTATCGCAAATGAAGGGTCGTGATGAGTCTGGCAAGTGGCTTCGGATATGAGCATGAAGGTGGGTCTCTCGTAGGTACGACTTCTTGCACGTTTCGCACTGAAAAGGTCGCTGGGTTGTGCACTGAGTGATGGGCTCCACTTTTATAGAAGCACCACTTACTTCACCGGTGTGCGAGCGTTCATGTTCAGCTAAACGGGAAGGTTTTGAGTAGGCTTTACCACATCCTTTAGAAGTGCACTGGTAACGCTTTGTGGTATTAAGTTGCATTTTCCCATTGATAATCACAGGCGTTCTCTTCGAGCTCGAAGAAGCAGGCATAGTAATCCGATTTTCCGTAGAGCCATCGAACTCGTTTTCCGCTGAAGAAAGGATAAAGCTCTGGGAGTTATCTGCTCTCCGCTTTCCGAGAATCTGAGTGGCCTCATAGACAACAGCAGAAACAGACATAGTGTCTTCAACGTCCAACACACAGAACAAGCCTTGAGGCTTGGTGCAAGCAAATCTAGAAATGAAGGTCAAAGAAGTGGAGGACTGGACGAAACAGGTTTGTTTGTGTCTGCTTGTCCTAATACGTGAGTGCCAAAAGTAGTCATAGAGCTTGGTCGGGGTCCCTTATGCTGCCTTGTATCAGAGGCTCTTCGAGTCAAGTTCGAAGCCAATCACTCTTCCAAATCCTTTGTATGACACAAGTGCATAACTCTGACATTATACTAGCGAAGTCATCGGGATCCCCCGATGACCCTCGTCTTTGGCGAT